GTTCGTAGATGATGTCCTTGTGCCAAGACACAGACGCCGAAGTTCGCAAATGCATGTGTATTCAACTAGACGGACTCGCTCGGGCAGTGGGGTTCGTGTATAGTTTTTCCACGGTTTTATAAATTTCCGCTTACGCATCGTCTGTTTAAAACAGAGAGGAACACGCTTGCAAGGAGTTATTACCAGAGCTGTTAGAGTTGCTAAACGACGAAGAAGAACAGGTATTGTATATCACGTGTTTTATTGGAAGTGGTTGCGCTTAAGATTGACATTATTGCTTACCAACTCTGCAGGTCAAGCAAATAGCGTTTCTCGCCCTCTTGTCATTATTCGACTTTTTCCCTGCTCGGGATCGCACCAAACAGATAATTCCAGAATTTATCGGGATTGCCGAGTCGCTTCCTGACTACCTCGTTCCATTGCTAGCCGAGCAGTACGGCCAGCTCGTCACAAAGCTAGCCACACTGAATCATGTCGGAAACGATACAGGCCAAGTGTTTCTGCAAGGTTATTCGAAGCTTTGCTCTCATGAAGAACAGGAAATACGGCAATACTGCGCGTATAATTTCCCTGCCATCGTAAAAGCTTTTGGATCGACGTATATATCCACTTTGATGGACGATTTGCTAGCCAAGCTGGCGAGTGATCCAAGTGAAGAGGTACAACATTCCTCACTCTCGTTGTTATGAATGCAGTAATTAACCTAGTTTGGGTTTTCTTTGGGTATTTCCCGTCACAGGTTCGGCATCACATCGCTGCTGGAATCCATGAAGTCGCTCTACTGTTAGGACAGCACCGAGCGATGCGGTACCTGAAGGTGTTAGTGCTGAGTTTGATGAACGATGAATCACCGGTTGTTCAGGGAATGGCAATTTCTCGAGTACCACAACTGCTGCCTGCCATGATAAACCCCAGCGACGAGGACCAAAAGGTATGCATTTTACTAGAAATGATTGTTTTGTTCTTACCAATGGTAACTCTTAAACGTTATTTCCTAGACTGCTATCCTGGATTCGATTATCAAATCGGTCGCTGAATACCACACGATTCTACCATCAAGCCGTAATCGAGACCAGCTTGTATTTCTTGAAACGTTGCAAAGTTTTCCGTCCTGGTTTTCGTCCACGCAAATGTACGAGATGGTGATACCAATAATTTTTGATTTCATCGAAGATGGTGCTCGTCCAGTCCAGTTGCTTGCAATGCAAGTAGTACTCAAATGCATTCGGTATAACGACACCGCCAGCCATCGATATTCCTTGCTTAGCAGACTCCGAACGGAGTATGGTCACTCCAAAAGCTACTGGCGTCGGATTCTCTACCTCGACGCATGTGTCTATGCTTTGACGGTGAATAGTCGACTCTATTGCCAGCGCAATTTCCTCGAGGTAGCAATTGATCTCCTAGACGACCCTGTGCCTAATGTACGATGGAAGGCGATATCACTGGTACCGATGTGGAAAAATGCGCTTTGTTATTTATCGGACGAGAAGTGTCTCGACCGGATCCGACAGTTCTTGGACGAATCGACCATTGATAGTGACCGAGATGTTGCGAATGCCCTTCAAGAGACTCGCCAAATTGTCGAGGCGAATAAT